ATACATATAATTATATAAAATTTATATATAATAATATTAAATGTTTATGCTGCCCAGCTCTCAACATCCCTAGCAGTAGTAATAATAATAAATAAAATGCATAAGTGAGGAATCAGGAATATCTAGAATTAAATCTCGATTTAATCCTCATCTTTCTTTCGGGCTCTCCCATCCAAGGAAGATATAGAAATTAATGTTCTTTTATCAAATTGTTTGCAGGATCACACCATTAAAACACGGAAGGAAAGCAAATGAGATACTTTAAGAATTCTTGTTCTGCCTGTTTGGCTGACCTCCAGTTATGGGTTGGACTACAAATCCCATCCTGCCCTATTGGCAGAAACTGGCCTCGCAGTAATGAGATGAGGGGGTATCGGCAGTGGGACGATGCGAAGCTGTACCCTTATTGCGGAGTCTTGGGACTGTGCGCGTCGACTGAAATCGAGCCCTTTCCTGAACATAAAGAATAGAATGAACCATAAACTAGCCAACCCAGCTGGGTTTGCCCAACCTGATGACCCCCCAAATCTAATCATGGTTAAAACTAACCAAGATTAGCATGCAACGCAAAGGCTTTTTAACTCATTTGGTTTAGCGTGGGGCGTCAAGCGGTGAAGACCCGGGATGAGGCTGAGAAGCAACAGCTGAAGATGCCATTCTTATCCACAGCTCTTCACTCTGATGGTAAAGCTGGTCCCAGAGACAAACCAGCATTTCCTCTTTGGGTGTGTGGGTGTGTGTTTTACAGTCAAAGGCCCAGACTAAGCCAAGCACCCTTAAGGAGCCTCACCAAGGAAAAGGAGGGGAGATTTAATGAAGGCATTAAAATTAGGTATCATACAGGCCAGTGTTTTTCAACCTTGGTGACTTTAAGATGGGTGGACGTCAACCCCCAGAATTCCCCAGCCAGCCTGCTGGGAGTTGAAGTCCACCCATCTTAAAGCAGGCCAGCTGGGGAATTCTGGGAGTTGAAGTCCACCCATCTTAAAGTTGCTGAGGTTGAGAAACACTGGAGCACATTACCTCAGCAAATTGTAAAACTGATCTGTGAAATGAGCATGTGCTTTTCTTAAAGCCAACGAAAAATTAGCCGAGGCCAACAGGCAAACTGAGCGAAGAGGACTAGAAACTTGAAATCACGATTCCATTTTTCCCAGCTTCCAGATCACAGCAGTAATTAACTCCAAACTATCTAAGTCCTGAAGAGTTTTTCATTCCACGGTGTCACATCTGTCCATGTTTTTTAATTATTATTTATTTAGAATACAAGAGCATGAGAGATACAAAGATATATATATATATATATGTATATGTATATATATATTTACAGCTGTGTACATCATTACAATTATTATATAATATCAAAGATTTTTTTTTGTAAATAGGTGTTTTACATTATTTTATTTACAAGGTTAAAGTGACCATTGTTTCCTGTCAGTTGACTATGTAAGTATGACAGCTCGAGACATCTTATCCTTATTAGAGGGGCAGATTTTTAGAAGCAGCCACATGGGACTTGCGTTTCTCAAAAATGCATATTTTACAAAAACTCCGTTCCTTGATCCCATCGAGGCAGAGAAACTGTTTCTTCCCCATGTCAAAGATTCCAGATTGGTTCCAAGCAGCTCCAGAACTTTAATTGGACAAAAAGAAATTGCACAAAAATTCTTCTCTGGGAGAGATCTAGAAAGCTGCGGTCCCCACATACAATACTGAGAAAAACCCTTTTGTAAAGCAGGGTCTGTTTCGATTTCAAGTCATTTTTTCCCCAAGTTTTAAACACGAGTGGACAATTGTTTTCTATCCATGAGACTGATACTCTGCCAGAGTAGAGAGGCAGAAAAATGGGTGCAACAGGTTTAAAAAAAAAAAATAGGGCCATTTGCAAAGCGCATCCATTGTTCCCACCCCGGATAAATGCAACACAGCGCTTCAACCATCTTAAACACGAGTGGACAATTGTTTTCTATCCATGAGACTGATACTCTGCCAGAGAAGAGAGGCAGAAAAATGGGTGCAACAGGTTTAAAAAAAAAAAATAGGGCCATTTGCAAAGCGCATCCATTGTTCCCACCCCGGATAAATGCAACACAGCGCTTCAACCATCTTGTCTGGGCAGCGAAGCTAAGCAGGAATTAGCCTGGTTAGTACTTGGAGGGGAGCTGGACTGGAAGAAAGCAAATTGCTTTTGAACCGTGGCCAGGGAACGGAGAGGACGCCTTGAAATATTCAGAGCAAGCCTCGTGTTTTCGGGAAACCATACAACTGCCCTGCCAGGTGGGCTGTTGTTTAGTCCCACGTTGCAGATGGGAGAAAGGAAAGACTCTCCACCTTGGGGCAGAGACAGGAAATGAGAATGGTGGGAGAACTACAGGCTGCCAAAAATCCAGAATTCGGCCCAAATCCACTTTTTCTGACTGGGAAATTATCTCTAGCCCCGGGCAAACAATGTAACCACTACGAGATATTCCAGATTGCAACCCTTCATCACTCCCACTGACTGGAGATGGTCTTCCTTCCTTCCTTCCTTCCTTCCTTCCTTCCTTCCTTCCTTCCTTCCTTCCT